CTCTCCTGAGTGAAACACACTGGGAATGGCAGTTCAACAGTATCTGGACATCCACACATTTTCCACACCTAGCTTAGATCAGTTCTAACAGTATGCACCTGTCAAGCATCTGAGGTCACGACATTCTGCCCTTGAGCAATTTCTGGACCATAAGAACCTGGAATAATCCTATGTTCAATTCAAGAAGGATGCTCAATTCAAGAAGCATCATGAAAACTGTGAAAGTTAAGATTCCACAGAAGAGCACTGCTGAGTATGGGAGGATGAAGTGAAGCATATTACTTGGTAGCAGTGAATGCAAGGAAGCAGGAGACATATCAAGCAGAGAGGCATTGCTTGGATGAGATGGCTAGGAAGTCCCACAGCTTGGCTCAGAGGCCATAGAACAGTGTTTCTCAACTTAGGGGGTTGGGATCCCAGGAGGGTGTGAGGGAGTGTCAAGAGGAGTCGGCAAAGACCACCAGAAAACACCGCATTTTTTATTGGTCATGAGGGTTCTGTGTGGGAAGTTTGGCCCAATTCTATCGTTGTCGGGATTCAGAATGCTCTTTGATTGTAGGTGAACTATAAATCCCAGCAACTACAACTCGCAAATGTCAGGTATATTTTCCCCAAACTCCCAACAATATTCCCATTTGCACATATTGAGTATCCGTGCCAAGTTTGGTCCAGATTCATCATTGTTTGAGTCCACCGTGCTCTCTGGATGCAGGTGAACTACAACTTCAACACTCAAGGTCAATGCCCACCAAACCCTTCCAGTATTTTCTGTTTGTCATAGGAAATCTGTGTGTCAAGTTTGGTTCAATTCTATCATTGATGGAGTTCAGAATGCTCTTTGATTGCAGGTAAACTATAAATCCCAGCAACGACAACTTCCAAATGACAAAATCAATCTCCCCCCAACCACACCAGTATTCACATGTGGGCGTATTGGATATTTTGCCAAATTTGGTCCGGTGAATGATAATTCATCCTTCATATCAGATAGTTACATTCCGATTCATAACAGTAGAAAAAATACAAAAATAATGTTATGGTTGGGGGGTCACCACAACATGAGGAACTGTATTAAGGGGTTGTGGCATTAGGAAGGTTGAGAAACACTGCCATAGAAGTATCAGAAAGTGTGGAGCTTCCTCTTGAAGAGCCAGACTCCAACCATTCTACTTGTTGAATTTGTTTTCTGGGCAATGGCCAGTCTCACAGAGGATTGCTGCAAGCCCATCACATTGGATGATGCTACAGTGTCTTTTTTGCCAATGCACTGAGCTGCGGGGCAGCCATTGCAGAGCGAGGGTGCCAGATAGCCTGACAGCGAAAGCAACATCTCTGTTTGGTGACTCTCCTTCTGAACAAAACGTGTAGGAGAGTCTCCCAGAGCACTGTTCAATACTCCACTCCTGGGGGATGAGCCTTCTTGTAGAATAAAAGAGTTGGAAGAGATACAGGGTTCAACCAATCTAATCTTCTGCCATTCAGGAGCACAGAATCAAATCACAGAATAGAATCATAGAATCCTAGAGTTGGAAGAGACCTCATAGGCCATGCAGTCCAACCCCCTGCCAAGAAGCAGGAAAATTGCATTCAAAGCACCCCCGATAGATGACCATCCAGTCTCTGTTTTAAAACTTCCAAAGAAGGAGCCTCCACCACACTCCAGGGCAGAGAGTTCCACTGCTGAACAGCTCTCACAGTCAGGAAGTTCTTCCTAATGTTCAGATGAAATCTCCTTTCTTGTAGTTTGAAGCCATTGTTCCATTGCCGCGTAGTCTCCAGGGCAGCAGAAAATAAACTTGCTCCCTCCTCCCTGTGACTTCCTTTCACGTATTTATACATGGCTATCATGTCTCCTCTCAGCCTTCTCTTCTTCAGGCTAAACATGCCCAGCTTTTTAAGCTGCTCCTCATAGGGCTTGTTCTCCAGACCCTTGATCATTTTAGTTGCCCTCCTCTGGACACATTCCAGCTTGTCAATATCTCTCTTGAATTGTGGTGCCCAGAATTGGACACAATATTCCAGGTGTGGTCTAACCAAAGCAGAATAGAGGGGTACCATGACTTCCCTAGATCTAGACACTAGGCTCCTATTGATGCAGGCCAACATCCCATTGGCTTTTTTTGCCGCCACATCACATTGTTGGCTCATGTTTAACTTGTTGTCCACGAGGACTCCAAGATCTTTTTCACACGTACTGCTCAAGCCAGGCATTATCCCCTATTCTGTATCTTTGCATTTCATTTTTTCTGCCTAAGTGGAGTATCTTGCATTTGTCCCCATTGAATTTCATTTTGTTAGTTTTGGCCCTTCATCTCTCTAATCTGTGAAGATTGTTTTTAATTCTGCTCCTGTCTTCTGGAGTATTATAAATCACTCCTGACAGGTGATCATCAGTCTCATTTGAAAGACCTCCCGAAAAGAAGACCTCGCTATACCCAAGGCAACATATTCCTCTTCCAAACAGCTCTGACCATCAAGCAGTTCTTCCTAATGTTTAGGTGGAAACCATTGCTTGCCCCCTCCCCAATATGACATCTTGGTGAAATATTTGAACATGGTTCTCATCTCTCTTCTCCAAGCTAAAGATACCCAGCTCTCTGTTCCGCTCTTCAGCATGATTAATAATCTCCAGATCTTTGGCCATTCTGATCGCCCTTCTTTGGACTTGGTCAACATCCTTCTTGTATTGGACCTAGGATTATTCCAGGTTCTTATGGTCCAGAAATTGCCCGAGGGCAGAATTTCATGGCCTCAGACGCTTGACAGGTGCAACCTGCTAGAACCGATCCAAGCCAGCGGTAGAAAATGTGTGGCTATCTAGATATTTTGAACTGCCATTCCCAACATGTTTCACCATTGGCCATGCTGGTTAGGTTGCTGGAACTTGTAGTTCAGCAACACCTGAAACGTATTATTAAAGGCTTTTGTGGCCAGAATCACTGGGTTGTAGGTTTTTCAGGTTGTATGGCCATGTTCTAGAAGCATTCTCTTCTGACATTTTGCCTGCATCTGTGGCAGGCATCATCACCAAACCTCACAACCTCTGAGGATGCTTGCCACAGATGCAGGCGAAACGTCAGGAGAGAATGCTTCTAGAACATGGCCGTACAACCCGAAAAACCTACAAAAACCCAACACCTGAAATGTCATACTTTTGCCCATCGCAACCTCGACAGTCCTGCTTGCCACCCTTTCATAACAGTTGCCATTTTCAAAACCAGTGCATTGCCCTCCAGCCGGCATGGGCCACTGAGCCCACCCTACCTTTGCATTGATTTCATAGTGGCTTGTATCAAATTAGCTCCATTCAATATGAAATCGACTTAAGCTAATTCAATATAGGGCTGGTTTAAATCAATATTTCACTTAATCAGGTCTTAAACTGATTTTGGCTTGCTGCAGCGCACACTTGTGCGGTGATGAAGTTTAATGTTTCGTGAAATGTCATCATGGCGTTTAAGTACACATACACCGGCCAATTTCCTGTAGAGAATCGTAAAATCCAAGGTTCCTTTCGTTTGCAAAAACTGGACAGTATTTCTCTCATATGGCTTTGGGGAAAGGGATGCAAAGAACATTCATTACTTGTACTGAACATGGATTTTTTTTTTTGAAGTATGGTTGTCAAGGGAACTACTGTACTCAATTCAAATGTAATTATCGAAGGGTAGAAGGGAATGGTGGAAAGGCCCTGGCTCCGTGAGAGCACATATCCATATCATGTGGCTATTCTCCAATTCCATGCCCAAGTACCTCCGCTGCAAAACGGCTGTGCTGCAGGAAAAAAATTGTGTGTTTGTTAGCATTAGCTTTGCAACTTAGGATACTAGGAAGGATCCAGAATGATTTGGAGACATGATTGACTTATGGAGACCCAGGATTTGTCTTGGCTTGACATATTTGGACCAGGTTTGGCATCCCTTTCCTTTGAGGATGGGAGATTGTAACTTTTGTCCACAGGATTTACCATAACTGAGATCTGTGCTCCTATTGATGCAGAGTTGTGGTTTGATGGGGACACAAGTACTCATTGGCAGGTAAGGCTAAAGACCATGTCAGACTACAAACTCCCAGGATTGAATAGCATTGGATCATGACAGTTAAAGTTGTGTCAAACTGTGTTAACTCTACAATGTAGATCAGGCATGGGCAAACTTTGGCCCTCCAAAGGCCAAAGGAATTGTGGGAGTTGAAGTCCAAAACACCTGGAGGACCAAAGTTTGCCCATGCCTTCCATCTCTTGGCTTCATAAGTTCATAAGGGCTTTTGTTTGTTTTGAGGAGTGGCATAATTGTGATTCTCGGTTTCTCTGCAACTCCCTGGACTCTGGGTTGTTGTAGGTTTTTCCAGGCTATATGGCCATGTTCTAGAGGCAATTTTTCTCCTGACGTTTCGCCTGCATCTATGGCAAGCATCCTCAGAGGTAGTGAGGTCTGTTGGAAGTAGGAAAAATGGGTTTATATATCTGTGGAATGACCAGGGTGAGACAAAGGACTTTTGTCTGCTGGGGCTAGTGGAATGTTTCAGCTGATCACCTTGATTAGCATTCAATGGCTTGGAAGTGCCTGGGGGGAATCTTTTGTTGAGAGTGATTTTATGTGCCTGTTTGTTTCCCCTCTGTTGTTTTGCTGTTGTAATTTTAGAGTTTTTTAATACTGGTAGCCAGATTTTGTTCATTTTCATGGTCTTCTTCCTTTCTGTTGAAATTGTCCACATGCTTGTGGATTTCAATGGCTTCTCTGTGTAGTCTGACATGGTGGTTGTGAGAGTGGTCCAGCATTTCTGTGTTCTCAAATACTATACTATGTCCAGGTTGGTTCATCAGGTGCTCTGCTATGGCTGACTTTCTCTGGTTGGAGTAGTCTGCAGTGCCTTTTATGTTCCTTGATGCATGTCTGGGCGCTGCGTTTGGTAGTCCCTATTGTGGACTCTGCTTCTCCGTCCCTGGACTGGATTTCACAGTTTTTCATGTGTGTTCCTTCCTCTGCTCCCTTCTGCAGTCAATGGCGTCCCTTGGCCCCAAGAATCCACCAGGCGCAACAGCCATACTTTCAACTGCAGGATGCTGACCCGGCCACCGGACGAATCCGCCGCAGAGAACCAGGAGGCCCGCCAGCGCTACGAGGTCATGCAGTGCTTCACCGTGTCCCAGCCAAAGCTGATCAAGGAGGAAGGAGAAGGTACGGGCAGAGGGTGGCTTGTTTGGAGAGGGAGGCGGCGCATGCTGCGTTGCATATCTGGTGCGGAGGGAGTGAGTGACAGACTGTCCTCAGCTGTCCTCTTGCAACTGCAAAAGGGCTTTCTGCCTCTCTGCAGCATTTCATCTCCCTTTGGGCAGGTGAGGCCTGCGGCTTGGCATAGACCCTGCAAGCTCACCTTTAAGCAGGTCTCTGTTTTAGAATCATAGCATCACCAAGGTGGAAGAGACCACAAAGAACATCCAGTTCCAGCCCCCTGCTATGCAGGAACATTCAATCAAAGTACCCCCAAAAGATGACCATTCTTAAAATCCTCCAGAGAAGGAGAATCCACCACACTCCAAGGCATCATATTCCACTGCCAAACAGCTCTTACTGTTCAATGCTCCTGTTCAGTTGAAAACAGCAAAAGCATAATTACACATACAAGAATGTTGAACATGCATGTTATAGCATTCATCAGGCCTCCTCAAACTGCGTCCCTCCAGCTGTTTGGGCCTCCAACTCCCAGAAACCCTATCAAGCTTGTTCAATTGTCAGGAATTCTGGGAGTTGAAGGCCCAAACAGCTGTAGGGACACAGTTTGAGGATGCCTGGCATACATAGTAGTGCATGTGCATTGTCTCTACACATTGAACATTGCAGTTTCCCAATGGGTTGTATTATATTCCCATGCCCATCTCTTTAAGCCGCTCCTCATAGGGCTTGTACTCCAGACCCTTGATCATTTTAGTTGCCCTCCTCTGGACACATTGACCATTGGCTCGCATAGAATCATAGAGCTGGTAGTGACCTCATTGGCCATCCAGTCCAACCCCTTTCTGCCAAAAAGCAGGAAAATTGCATTCAAAGCACCCCGACAGATGGCCATCCAGCCTCTGTTTAAAAGCCTCCAAAGAAGGAGCCTCCACCACACTCGGGCAGAGAGTTCCACTGCTGAACGGCTCTCACAGTCAGGAAGTTCTTCCTATGTTCAGATGGAATCTCCTTTCTTGTAGTTTGAAGCCATTGTATTGCGTCCTAGTCTCCAGGGAAGCAGAAAACAAGCTTGCTCCTCCCTGTGGCTTCCTCTCACATATTTATACATGGCTATCATATCTCCTCTCAGCCTTCTCTTCTTCAGGCTAAACATGCCCAGCTCCTTAAGCCGCTCCTCATAGGACTTGTTTTCCAGACCCTTGATTTTCCTAATTCCCACAGACCTCACTACCTCTGAGGATGCTTGCCATAGATGCAGGTGAAACGTCAGGAGAGAATGCCTCTAGAACATGGCCATATAGCCCGAAAAAAATCTACAACAACCCAGTGATTCTGGCCATGAAAGCCTTCAACAATACATTCCAGCTTGTCAATATCAACATAGCACAATAAGCATATGTTGTGCGACATTGATATTCAATACAGCAGTTGTTATATCAGAAGTCCCCTGGCAGGTGTTTGTGATACACCGAAGCAATGCAGGATGTTAGCCTTTGCATGGAAAGTCATAGGGTGTATCTGCGTGTTTCCATATGTTGAGGTTCCTCCTCTCTTTGCTGGCAAGATCTGTTTGGGGTTGTGTAAGCACAAAGATCTTTGAAAGATTATTTCCAGAAAATCCAAATGGATGGCTCAGAGTACCACCCATTAGGTCTCCTTCCAGAGAAAAAGCAGGACATATTCCTGAAATGGCCACCTTCTGCATCATCCGCCCTGATTTCCATCACTTCTCATCCACCATTGGCCCCCGTTCTGGATTGGGACCGTGATGTATCTCTTCCCTGTCGCTCCGCTCTGTAATGCCAGAGAGAGATTTTCCAGGAGAACACTTTGGGCTCATTTCTCCACAGCAGTCATTTCGTTCCAGTGCATTAGCCGAATTAATCCATTGCAGCTTACACACTGGAAGAAATAAATCACAGTGAGGTTTATGAGCACATCCTTTGCCTATAGCTGACAGGAGGTGGCTTTTGCTCCTGCCTTTTATTTCATAAGGCATCCAAAGGTATGCCCCTAAACAACATGGAGCATGGAGACACAGAAATACTCAAAACATGCAAGCATCCTCTCAAGAGCTACGTTTCTCTGTTGCTGCTTTTCCTCTTTTTCCTGTCTTGTTTGTTGCCAGTTCATGCTACTAACATCGAATGTTGGGTAATCATTTGAAGCTGGTTTTCTGCCCTTGGGATGCTTTCACAGGCGCCCTGGGCTACCAAAAACCCTCCCAACCATAACAAAAAAAGAAAGAATGAAAGAAAATGTTTATTGGTTTATTTATTTATTTATTTATTTATTTATTTACTGTATTTGTATACCACCTTTCTCAGCCCGTAGGTGATTCAAGGCAGTTAACAGGGCAAAATTCAATGATTACAATGTCATAAATACAATTAAAAACATAGAATCATAGAATCAAAGAGTTGGAAGAGACCTCATGGGCCTCATGGGCCATTCTGCCAAGAAGCAGCAATATTGCATTCAAATCACCCCTGACAGATGGCCATCCAGCCCCTGTTTAAAAGCTTCCAAAGAAGGAGCCTCCACCACACTCCGGGGCAGAGAATTCCACTGCTGAACGGCTCTCACAGTCAGGAAGTTCTTCCTCATGTTCAGATGGAATCTCCTTTCTTGTAGTTTGAAGCCATTGTTCCGTGTCCTAATCTCCATGGAAGCAGTAAACAAGCTTGCTCCCTCCTCCCTGTGGCTTCCCCTCACATATTTATGCATGGCCATCATTATGTCTCCTCTCATCCTTCTCTTCTTCAGGCTAAACATGCCCAGCTCCTTAAGCCGCTCCTCATAGGGCTTGTTCTCCAGACTCTTGATCATTTTAGTCACCCTCCTCTGGACACATTCCAGCTTGTCAATATCTCTCTTGAATTGTGGTGCCCAGAATTGGACACAATATTCCAGGTGTGGTCTAACCAAAGCGAATAGAGGGGTAGCATGACTTCCCTAGATCTAGACACTATGCTCCTCTTGATGCAGGCCAAAATCCCATTGCCTTTTTTTGCCGCCACATCACATAGTTGGCTCATGTTTAACTTGTTGTCCACGAGGACTCCAAGATCTTTTTCACACGTACTGCTCTCGAGCCAGGCATTGTCCCCCATTCTGTATCTTCTCAGCTCGTAGGCGACTCAAGGCGGTTAACAGGGCAAAATTCAATGATTACAATGTCAAAAATACAATTAAAAACATAACATATAATAAAAAATAAACAAATCAATCAAATATAAATTCATAGTGTCTCCTTGTTAAAAAGGTTGTCCGGACTCATTGTCTAGTCCCCCTAGGGGTGAGAAAAGCGGTATATAAATGCTGTAAATAATAATAGTTATTCCATTTTCCTATGTCAGTTATTCTGCATTTGCAAACGCTTGTTCAAAAAGCCACGTCCTGACTTTTTTCTGGAATGTTAAAAGGGAAGTGGCCGATCTAATATCTATAGGGAGGGCGTTCCACAGCCAAGGGGCCATCACCAAGAAGGCTCTGTCTTTCGTCTCCGCCAAACATACTTGTGACAAAGGCAGTAATGAGAGCAGAGCCTTCTCAGACGATCTAGATGGTTCATAAGGGTGTGTTCCATTTTTGGAAAGTGAATCCGTGTTTCATCTTAGAGAGTGTGTATTTTGTGTTAAAGAGGGTGCCCTGCAAGCTGTTTTCAAGGTGAAATGCTATCTATTCATGAGGAAAAAGGGGGACCTGGAGGGATCAGGAGCCACAAAAACAGCCTTGAAGGCATGCTTTGCCCACTTTAAGTTTAGGTGTTCCACTTCAGGTTGTTTCTATGAGGAAAGTGAATTCTTCATTTTTTTAAAAAAACTCAAGAAGAACTTTTGCTTCTCTGGTCAAATGCTTGCGTTTCCTTCAGAGCAGTGCTTCTCAGGCCTGTAGCTACTGGGGGGGGGGGATTTTGGGGCGATGGTGAGTCTTAAATGTAATTTTAATTATATTTATTGCATTTTAATTGTATTTTACTCTATATAGATGCACCAATATTTAATAGTTTTTTAAATCATTTTATTTTACATTTTTATTAGGTTGTGTGTTTGTTTGCTTCCTTAAGTCCCTATGGGAAGAAAGGCAAGGTAGAAATAAAGATGATGATGATGATTGTTGTTGTTGTTGTCATTATTATTATTATTATTATTATTATTATTATTATATCCAGCTGGTAGCCCACATCACTAGTAACAAGCCCGGTCTTTCTTTGTTCTCACTCTCTGTGTTCCTTTATTTCTGTCCCTGGCAGATCTGCAGTCCTGCCTGATATGCATCGCACGAAGATTACCTCGATCCACTGTCCCCACCACATCAGAATCTTTCATGACCAAGCAGGATACTACAGGTACCAAGGGAATAGCAAAAAAACCAGGGGGATTCAGAGAAGTCTCCAGCGATCGCAGGGCACTTTGGTGGAAGAGCCAAACATTCTGGCTTGGAGCTGCTTTGATGTCCAAGAGGCCACAACACGGGATGGATGGAGCAGACAGCAAGAAATTGTATTCCTTTAGACTTTAGGAGGGCCCCCTGGTCACGCAGCGGGTTAAACCGCTGAGCTGCTGAACTTGCTGACCGAAAGGTTGATGGTTCGAATTCAGAGAGTGGGGTGAGCTCCTGCTGATAGCCCCAGCTTCTGCCAACCTAGCAGTTGGAGAACATGCAAATTTTAGTAGATCAATAGGTACTGCATTGGCGGGAAGGTAACGGCACTCCATGCAGTCATGCCAGCCACATGACCTTGGAGGTGTCTATGGACAACGCTGGCTCTTGGGCTTCGAAATGGCAATGAGAACCACCTCCCAGAGTCAGACACGAGTAGACTTAATGTCATAGAAACCTTTGCCCTTACCTTAGGCTTTAGGGCTGGTACATTAACTCAAAAGATTCACAGAAGGGGAGGTTTTAGAGTTGGAAGTTTGAAGAGAGAAGAAAGCTGCCTCAATTCAAGCCAAAAAGGCAGTGGAGAGGAATGGGTTCAGCCATACAGTTAAGACAGCTGTATGGCTCAAGTTATGGAGTTGCAGGAGCAACAGTAGAAAGCAAATTAATTAAGCCACAGATATGAGCCAGGCGGTGTTGGGATATTTATGTACACATCCATACCTACAGGATTGTTTGCTTTATTTATGAGGGGATTTTTACACCAAGACCCTTTCCATCATCTTAATGGAGCATTCAGGGAGATAACCAGGGTGTAATGAATAGCAATTCAGGGATAATCAAAACAAGAACAGGATGGTAAAGGTGTGGGAGTGCCTGCAGAGAGCAGAGGGCCTTGGAACCGACAGCCTTCATTTCTCTGCCTTTGGGTTTCACGTTCGCTCTCCATTCCTCTCTGCTCAGGTAAAATCATTTCCATCGACACCAGTTCGCTGAGAGCGGCAGGCCGGACCGGCTGGGAAGATCTAGTGAGGAAATGCATCTATGCTTTCTTCCAGCCTCAGGGCAGGGAGCCATCTTACGCCAAGCAGCTATTTCAGGAAGGTAAAAAGGCTCTTCTCTTTTGCACGCACTCGCATTGTCGCTGGGTAAGTGCTTTCCGGGCTCAAAAGACAAAAACCGGCAAAGGAGGCAAACGGCGCTGCCAAAGGAAGTGGCTGCCCTGGCTGAGTAGTGCCAGTGGCCCCACTGGCTGGCAGAGCAGGTTTGCCGGCAAATCCCATAGAAGGCCAGCCAGCTGCCCATCGTCTCACTGGACTTCCATGGCAACCTGGCCCAGGAGGCTCTTGGCCCCCCGTGTAGGGCTGGCCTGCCAAGCCAGAAGCCTTCTGACAGCCACTTCAGGAAGGAAGAACAAAAAGCGGCGAGGTGCCAAAGTTATTCATGGCTTGCTTTGCCCCATTGGTTCTGTTTATTTATTTAATTTAGCTCTTGCCTTGCTCCCAACGTAGAATCAATCCAAAGACATTGACAGTTCAAGTGGCTTTTCACATGTATTGAGTTATTAACAAAAGGAGCATGAGTTAAAACATATGTACTGTGTTCCCTTGCTATTTCGCGGTTCGCTTTTCGCGGATTCACTGTTTTGCGTTTTTTTTAATAAATACGAATTTAGAATATTTATCATGCGGCAGGTGCCCAAACCAGCCCTCACCAAGCCACCGCCGCTCTCCAATGCGCTTTTCCTCCTCAGTCCTCCCTCTCTGCCTACAGCCTTGAAGTGCTTTTTCTTCATTTCCTTCGCTCTCTCGCTTTCTTCGCCCAGTAAAGGGAAAGGCGAGGAGGGCTTGCTTCCCTCCCTTCCGTCCATCCTTCCTTCTTTCCTTCCCTGACAGAGAGGCGAGTGGGGGGAGCCGCAGAGGAGGAGGAGGAGGAGGAGAGGAAGGCGAAAAGGCACATGCAAGTGGGGAAAGAGGAGGGGGAAAACGAGGAGGTGGAGAAGGGGAAGCCAAGCGCTCGAGGAGGAGCCAGCAGGAAGTGTGGTGTGCATGGGGAGGGGGAGGAAGAGAGGGAGGAAGAGGAGAGGAAAGAGAAGGCGAAGGGATTGAGTGAGTGAGTGAGAGTGGGGAGAGGGAGAGAGGAGTGGACGAAGCCACTCTTAGGAGRGGGTGGTCCTACACCTCGCGCACGCTGAGGCAGTACATATATAGTGTCCCTACTTTGCGGATTTTCACTTATCGCAGGTGGTCCTGGAACATAACACCCGCGATAAGTGAGCAAACACTGTACTGTGGATAGTACAAAAACAAGTTATTTTCACTATATATACAACACATACTCCCGAAGGTAAAAAAGCATGAAGCAATCATTCCAATGGAAAGGGTCATTTAAAATTATTTAAAATACCATATATACTTCAGTATCAACCAACCCGAATATAAGCTGAGGCACCTAATTTTACCACAAAAACTTGGGGGGGGGGGAGCCTGCTCCCTCCTCCCTATGACATCCTCTCACATATTTATACATGGCCCTCATCCTGTTTCCTCTCAGCCTTCTCTTCTGCAGGCTAAACATGCCCAGCTCTTTAAACCTCTCCTCATAGGACTTGTTCTCCAGATCCTTGATCCTTTGAGTCACCCACTTCTGGACACATTCCAGCTTGTCAACATCTTCCTTCAATTGTGGTGCCCAGAGTTGGATACAGTGTGATTCCAGGTGTAGGTTCACCTGGACTCTGGAGATTCAACTTTGAAAGGGAATTTTACGTGGGGCTGAAATACACTGACAAGCATGAAAGGGATTGATAAATGGAGGAAGGGTGCACACCATGTTTCTGCCATGTTAAACTCCATGTTTTGAACCCAAGGCAAACTAGAGCATGGGGAGCATGACTTCCCTGGATCTAGACACTAGACTCCTATTGATGCAGGCCAAAATCCCATTGGCTTTTTTAGCCACCGCATGATATTGTTTGCTCATGTTCACCTTCCTGTCCACGAGGACTCCCAAGATCTCCAAGGAGGCTCTTATCTAATTATTACAAAGTGCTAGTTTAGTAAGGCTGCAGATGGAAAGCCCATTCGTTCACACTTTCCTTCCTTCCCTCTTTTCTCTTTCCAGTGATGACACGGGGCACAGCCTTCAGCCCATCCTACCGGTTCACACTAAGCGACGGGACTGTCCTGAGCGCCCACACCAAGTGCAGGCTCTGCTGCCCGCAGAGCCCGGAGATGCAGCCTTTCATCATGGGCATTCACATCATTGAGAGGTGAGCCTTGGAGGCACCCACTTCGGTTGGTTGCTGCTCCCCCCAGATTGCCTTTCTGAGAATGGGAGTCACTAGAGCAGGCATGGGCAAATTTGGACCCTCCAGGTGTTTAGGACTCCAACTCCCACCATTCCTAACAGCCTCAGTCTCCTTCCTTTTCCCCCTCAGCCGCTTAAGCGGCTGAGGGGGAAAAGGAAGGGGCCTGAGGCTGTTAGGAATGGTGGGAGTTGGAGTCCTAGACATCCAGAGAGACAAAGTTTGCTCATACCTGCTACTACTCTGGGTTAGAAATCTTCTGCTGTTTGGTTTCCTTGTCCTCCCAATCCTCCTTTTTCATGAGCCCAGTCTGTCTTGCATTACTGCTGTACTCTTTCCTGCTTGACAGGATAAGTTTGCACGTTGACACCTTCTTATTGGCTTTGACATGGTGATAAATCTCCTGTGTGAATTTCTTTTTTTTTTTTTAACGCAGCAGCCTAACCCAGCCGTTTTGTATTCTTGGAAATGAGCTGTTTTCACGATCCTCTGTGCGTGTGCTTGTACGTAGACCATCATTCCTCCTTTTGGGGGCTATTGCTCGCCGTTATTGCGAGCTGAATGGTTAAATTATAATGATTCTTTAATGGTGGGGCTGACACTCAAGCCAGGAATGGAGGAATGTTTAAATGCGAAGCCTGCCAAGGCAAGCAAAGGGCCCCCGAAGCAAATCTTGGATGCCTCTTGGCTTTTGCCTCCAACCTCTTTCTATGAAACCAAATATGACATCAGATGGCTCTCTAAACTTGCTCTGACTTTGGCGGATCCTTCCTTGGTCATGTTCCCTCCAGTGGAATCCTTTTCCAATGACTTTCGCAAAAGTCTGTGCATGAAAAGATGTTACATGGGAACTGGCCATTGAATTGGCCACATGCTTTTTTTTCTGGGGCAGTTGCAAGAGAAGAAATTGATCCTTCCTCTGCGTGGTCCCTGTGAAATGCAGACATATGGGTTTTCCTGTGCCTTTGCAGGCAGTTTTCAAACTCTAGAAGCTCTAAAGCATGGGTCCACAAACTTTATAAACAGAGGGCCAGGTCACAGTCCCTCAAACTGTTGGAGGGCCGGATTATAATTTGAAAAAACACAAATGAATTCCTAGGCACACTGCACAATAAATAAATAAATATTTATTTATTTACTTATTTACAGTATTGCCCAGGGGATGCCGAAATGTTTTGATGTTTTCTCATCCTTGTGGGAGGATTCTCTCATGTCCCCGCAATGGGGAGCTGGAACTGATAGAGGGAGCTCATCTGCACTCTCCTCGGATTCAAACCTGCAACCTGTCGGTCTTTCAGTCATGCCAGTGCAAGGGTTTAACCCATTGTGCCAGTGCCACCGGAGTTTCCCTGGTGTGAAGCTGCCTTGAGTCTTCTTCGGGGTTGAGAAGGGCAGGGTAAAAATGTGATAAATAAATAAATAAATACATCTAATTTTTAGGGCTGGGCGGTTTCATTCGTTAATTTCGTAATTTGTTATTAATTCGTATTTAAATTAGCTTACGATCCGATATTGAGCCATGCAGGAATAGTGTGAGGAGTAATTAAAAATTGAAACAATTTTTCCAATTTATTTCGTATTGTTTCGTAATTGGTTCGTAATTGGTTCGAAATTGTTTCGAAATTGTTTCGTAATTATTTCTGTATGTCTGGTGCAACTTTTATAGTTGTTGTTTGTTTTATCAGTGATAAAAAATTAAATTATCACACCAACAGTCAACAACAGAGGGAGAGGGAAACTTCAGAAGTTCCCCCTGTCCCATTTGGAGGTTTTTTTAGCATATTGCGCAATCGCGTCCGCCATTAACGAATCGATTCAAAATTAACTAAATTTCGTAAATAACGAAATTTTGAAATCTCAAAATTTCGGAAGTATTTAGAATTTGGAAACGTTAGCGCCCCCTGGAAACAAATCGAGTTTAGAAACAATTTTTTCCGTGGTTACCCAGCCCTACTAATTTTCTTTTTTTCCTTTTGCCTTGATTCAGGGAACATGGCCCACTGTCACCTCAAGATAACACTAACTCCGGAATGCCTCTTCCTCGCGTCAATCCCTCTCTGAACCCCAACATTTCCCCTGGGCAAGGCATGCCTCTGTCTACCCAACTCCCTCCCACCAACAATGGAAACATGTTACCGGCCAATCCGGGCCACCCGCCAGGACCGGGCCTGCATGCCAATAGCGGGGGTGCTCCCGCCACCGGCCCGACAGGCTTTGGATGTTCACCGGGGAGCCAGATGGGACCGAACGTTGCCTTAAGCCAGGGACAGGCTGCTCCCCAGAACAGCAGCCACGCCATGAACCTCAGCAGCTCCCCCATGAACAGCCCCGGGGTCACCCCGCCACAGTTCATGTCCCCCAGGCATCGGGTCAGCCCAGGATTGGCCCATCGGCCCAGAGTGCCAAGCAACCCCTTTTCCCCCACGATGCCCACCACACACTCCCCCGTGGGCATGATGGGCGGCTGCAGTGCCGGCAACGCCGTTGGCAACAGGCCTTACCCCGGCACCCCCTTAAACTCCATGCAAGGACTTAGAGAAGGGCCCAGCCCCCCGGTGGGCTACTCAACCCCCTCCCCTGTTTTGCGGCAGCTGAGCAACCAGAACTCGCCCAGCCGGATGAGCATGCCGCCCATGAAAACAGAGCCAAAGGACAGCAAGGAGATGGGCTCCATCCTGTGTGGCATGGCCCATTCTGACAGCATCTCGGGCGACAACAAGCCTTTGGACTCTAGTTTGCTGCACGGCAGCGACAGACTCTCAGAGGGGGACAGCAAGTGCTTACAGGCCACCAGCCAGAAGCTAGTCCAGCTCTTGGCCACCACGGCTCAGGAGCAGTTGCGGCACGCGGACGCCGACACCAGCTGCAAAGAGCCTTTGTCTTGCACGGGCACCTCCGGGACCCCCTCCTCCGGGAACCCTGTGGGCAGCGCCTGCCCCTCCTCCCACAGCTCCCTCACGGAGCGACACAAGATCCTGCACCGGCTCCTCCAGGAGGGCAGCCCCTCGGACATTAACTCCCTGGCCATGGAGCACGACAAAAAGGACGGTGTGGCCAGCGGGAACGCCGCACAGAACCAAGGCCCGGGAACCCCGGACATGAGGCTGGAGGCCGAGGCAATGAAGAAGAAGGAGTCCAAGGACCACCAGCTCCTCCGCTACCTGCTTGACAAGGATGAAAAGGAGCTGGCCTCTAACCCCACCTTGAGCCTGGATGACGTGAAGGTGAAAGAGAACCCGGAGCAACTGGAATCCTGCAGTGTGGCTCCCAAGCAGGAGGAGGGGAAGCTGCAGCCACAGGGACAGGTGGGTCTCCCCAAAAAGAGGGCTTTCCTGTTTGGGGAAAAACACACATGTGTATGCTGTCCCATTCATGATTAGAGTCAGGCGGGTGCTACCAATGGCTTGTGATGCCGCTTAGTTAAAGTAGGACAGGTTGCTTAGCACTGAGGAGCAAACGGATAATAGGTCCATGCGGGCAGAAGTATAGGGTTTCCCCTTGACATTAAATCTAGTTGTGTTAAACCATGGTATGTAGTGTTCATCTCAATTTCTAAGCCAAAGAGCCGGCGTTGTCCATAGACGCCTCCTAGGTCATGTGGCCAGCATGACTGCATGGAGCACTGTTACCTTCCCACCATAGTGGTAGCTATTGATCTACTTACATTTGTATGTTTTCTTTTTTTAAAAAAAATATTTTTTATTATATTGTATATAATAAAAAATTGTATGTATATATATATGTGTGTGTGTGTGTGTGTACACACACACACACACACACACACTATATATATACATATACAATAAGAAAAAAAGAAAAATTGATAACTACACAAGAGAGATACGAACATGGAAAGTGGGAGAACATTTGGTTTCCAAGAAAGTAGGAAAAAAGGAGCAAATCAAGAGACCATTCTAACTAATGAAAAAAGAGAGAGAGAGAGAATCATAGAATCAAAGAGTTGGAAGAGACCTCATGGGCCATCCAGTCCAATCCCCTGCCAAGAAGCAGGAATATTGCATTCAAATCACCCCTGACAGATGACCATCCAGCCTCTGTTTAAAAGCTTCCAAAGAAGGAGCCTCCACCACACTCCGGGGCAGAGAGTTCCACTGCTGAACGGCTCTCACAGTCAGGAAGTTCTTCCTCATGTTCAGGTGGAATCTCCTTTCTTGTAGTTTGAAGCCATTGCTCCATTGCGTCCTAGTCTCCATGGAAGCAGAAAACAAGCTTGCTCCCTCCTCCCTTTGGCTTCCTCTCACATATTTATACATGGCTATCATGTCTCCTCTCAGCCTCCTCTTCTTCAGGCTAAACATGCCCAGCTCCTTAAGCCGCTCCTCATAGGGAAAGTCCATTGACTTCCATCCTGTGCTTTTGCTCATTGTTCTTTATAAAGATAGTTATATCTATATTCGTACGAACATTGTTACTATATGTTTCTTACTCTAGATGCCCAGCTCCTTAAGCCGCTCCTCATAGGGCTTGTCCTCCAGACCCTTGATCATTTTAGTCGCCCTCCCCTGGACACATTCCAGCTTATCAATATCTCTCTTGAATTGTGGTGCCCAGAATTGGACACAATATTCCAGGTGTGGTCTAACCAAAGCAGAATAGAGGGGTAGCATGACTTCCCTGGACCTAGACACTATGAGAAACTGCAAGTCGCTTCTGGTGTGAGAGAATTGGCCGTCTGTAAGGGCGTTGCCCAGGGGACACCCAGATGATGTGATGCTTTTATCATCCTTGTGGGGGCCTTCTCTCATGTCCCTGCATGAGGAGCTGGAGCTGATAGAGGGAGCTCATCCGCCTCTCCCCGGATTCGAACCTGCAACCTGTCGGTCTTTAGTCCTGCCGGCACAGGGGTTTAACCCACTGTGCCACCAGGAGCTCCTTGTAGAGAAGGAAGACATTTGGAATTCTCTATCAGCAAGCCCTAGGCTACGCATCCCAGAATCCATAGCCATGGCAGCTGAAACACTACCAAGATGCTATCATTCAATTAAAGGTAAAGTTAAAGTTTCCCCCAATATTAAGTCCAAATGGTGTCATCTCCATTTCTAAGCCAAAGAGCCAGCGTTGTCCATAGACACCTTCCTGCCAGAGCTGTACCTATTGATCTACTCACATTTGCATGTTTTCGAACTGCTAGGTTGGCAGAAGCTGGGGCTAACAGCGGGAACTCACCCTGCTCCCCAGATTCAAACCACCGACCTTTCAGTCAGCAAGTTCAGTAGCTCAGCAGTTTAACCCACTGTGCCACCATGATATTAAAAAAAAAATACAATGAACAATCCAGTTTATGCTGCTAACAGTATTTTGGACTTTAGTAAGCAAGGAGAAGCATTACATCTGATGTCTTAAACGAGTGGCATTTTGTGGGCTGACCCATGGATCCTGTTGATGTGGAAGATGTTCTGTTCCATAAGCTTCCCTGGTTTGACCCAACAGCAAAAAGTTCTCATGTTTTCGGGAGGCCTGGGCTTATCAGTTCTCAGGGTTTCCTGAACCCAAAGACCCAGCATGTCTCAAGGGGTGGGAGTGGGTTTAAAACCCATCTGGGATTCTTGCCTGCCTGCCTTCTGTTGGTTAGTGGGCTGCCTGGGAACCGGCAACATTCAAGGATCGTGAGCTCTCATAATAGAGTTATTAAACAGCAATGACAGTTCCCTCAAAGAGAGATTTCAGGGTATAAATATTCATTACCGCGGGCTGTGAATAGGAGAATAGCGCGCTACTCCTTTCCCCAAAAGCCGAGGGAGGGGACAACATGGACAAGGCTTGTTAATCCTTTCTATCAATGGGCCCAGGAGGAGGCTGCTTGGTATGCAGAGCACATCCTGGAAAGCCCGCTTTCGCCCTTGTGTCAAAACACAGCGCTGCTCTGGATGCCTGAATATTTACTTGTTTACTTACTCTGTGTGTTTATAGAACACCTGGCTGCCGGACAAGGGAGGCTACAGCTCTATCCTCTCCATAGTGGGTTTTGCTGGCATTTATTTACTCTGCTTCATTGTATTCTGCTTCTTCCTTCCCCCAAACCAGGATTTGAGGTGACTTGTTGTTGTTCATTCATTCAGTCGTCTCCGACTCTTCGTGACCTCATGGACCAGCCCACGCCAGAGCTCCCTGTTGGCCGTCACCACCCCCAGCTCCCTCAAGGTGACTTAACAAAAGTTAAATGCAGTTGGGTTTTACTTTTGCAGATTTGAGTTATTTATTTATTTATTTATTTAGAAGTTTTCTATACCGATCTTCTCACCTCCAAGAGGGACTCAGATCCGGTTCACAACATGTGTTCGTATACAAAAAATTACAAACCACACAATGCATCATCATTACACGTTAAAAACATAGTACAAAAACATCATCATCATCACAATTATACAAGCCAAGTCGTCAAAACATTCATGGTCATAATTCACAGTTCATCATTCTCCTTCCATGTGGACCAGAATTATTAACTCAGTTATCAAAAGCCGCATTCCATAACCAAGTCTTTGTTAATTTCCTAAAAGTCAGGAGGGAGGGAGCAGTTCGAATCTCCAGTGGGAGGGAGTTCCAAAGCCAAGGGGCCACCATCGAGAAGGCCCTGTCTCTCGTCCCCACCAACCGCGATTGTGATGGTGGTGGGACCGAGATCACCCCCCCCCCCCCCCGGAAGATCTTAAAGACCTAGATGGTTCATAGGGGAGAATCCGTTCGGACAGGTAAACTGGGCCGGAGTCGTTTAGGGCTTTATAGGTCAAAACCAGCACTTTGAATTGTGCTCATGTTCTCTCTAGGAATCTCCAGGTCTTTCGGTATGACTGTGGTCAATGGTCAATCTTCAGTCCTTCAGTGCAGTTCAATGGCTGGAAGAAAATCTAAATATCTCAAATAGTAGTAGTAGTAGTAGTAGTAGTAATACAATATTATAATAATATATTTTATATTACTTGTAATATTACTAATAATATTACAATATAATGGTATAGTACAATATCTATATAAATAAAAATGTAATGTTTGGGTTGTTGTAGGTTTTTTCGGGCTATATGGCCATGGTCTAGAGGCATTCCCTCCTGACTTTTCGCCTGCATCTATGGCAAGCATCCTCAGAGGTAGTGAGGATGCTTGCCATAGATGCAGGCGAAACGTCAGGAGAGAATGCCTCTAGACCATGGCCATATAGCCCGAAAAAACCTACAACAACCCAGTGAACCCAGTAGTAATATATAATACTGATATTGTACTATGCTAATAATATAATACATTGAATGAAGAGTTGAATGAAAAGTAATTCCTCCACCTTCGTTACTTGGGTTAGGATGGGAATATTTCAATAAATCACACGCAGAAATAATCCTTACGATGTGCTCTTTAACTACCACCATTCACTTTTCCACATAATCACCAGACAATTGGATACATTTCTGCCAACGATTAACAAGTTTTCTGAAGCCATCACAGAAGAAGTCGACACGCTGTTTCCGCAACCCAATGTGCACAGATCTTCCGATAGCCAAGCAAAGCAATAATGTGACCCACACGTTCTTGTGAAATGTCAATTTTGCTTGAAAATTCTCTCTAAGTGATACGACGAGCATCCTAAATCAATCTGTCAACATTTTGCTTGTGAAACTTGGTGGTTGCTGTCACAGGACGTCCAACTCCTTGTTTGTCACGCAAGTCAGATGTTCCCACCTCAACATCTTTAAACTTTCTCGCCCAACGACGCACAGTACTCACATCAACACAATCACCATAAACAGCTTGCATTCTCTGGTGAATCTCCTTTGGGGTGACACTTTCTACTGTCAAGAATTCAATGACTGCACGTTGCTTAAGTCGCATTGACCAACCGTCTGTGCAGGGTTTCAGACTTCGCACTTTAACAACACAATCGTTCAATGCTAAGGCTTCCCACCAAAATGAAACTGTAAAGGAGAGTCTACTGAAGAAGTCAGTACCTGCCGCATATCAGTACTGCCATCTGTTGAGGAGTTACGAAGGTGGAGGCATTACTTTTCATTCAACCCTCATAGGCTAAAGCCAGCACTTCCAATTGTGCTTGGTAGCAGATCGGCAGCCACTGGAGCTGGCGTAACAGGGGGGTTGTGTGTTCCTATACCTTACTCCAGTAAGCAATCTGGCTACCATTGAAACATTTGGTGCTTCTGAACAGTCTTCAAAGGCAACTCCACGTAGAGTGTGTTGCAGTAGTCTATTTGGGATGTAACTAGAGTGTGGACTACCATATCTTAATCTTGCTCTCTTACATCTTCTTACTCCCAGCCTCCTAAGTGCACCAACTGGAACCCAA